GCCCCGCGGCGCCGCCGCCGAGCGCCGTCGCCTCCGCCTCGTCCGCCGCCGCCGCCGCCGCTGCCGCCGCCCCGCCGCCGCGCGGGCCCCCGCCGCCCCGGCCCGCCCCTTCCGCCGCCCGGCGGCCCGCCGCCAGCGCGCTGCCCGCGCGGGAGGGCGCCAGAGGCTGGGAGGGCGCGGGGCCGCGGGCCGGAATGGAGGAGGCCAGGCGGCGGCGGCGCTTCTCTCGTCAGCCCAACCCGCCCGGCCGCGGCCGCCGCCTCAGCACCGCCGCCCCCCACAGCTCCGCCGATGGCCTAAGCGCCGCTGCCCCCCCACAGCGCCGCCGCGGCTCCCTTCAGCCCCGCCGCTCGCTCGCCTCAGCGCCACCGCCGCCTCAGCCCCGCCGCTCCCCTCAACCCCACAGCCGCCTCAGCCCCCCTGCTCCCCTCAGCCCCGCGGCCGCCTCAGCCCCGCCGCCGCCTGACTCCCCACGGCCCGGCGCTGTACTCGACCGCGGCTCCCCCCAGCCCGCGGCGGGCCCCACCTCCCGCCCGCCCTCCGGCCCGCCCCGGCCCCGCTCGTCGCCACTTGGCGCGCTCGCAGCCGCCCCCTCCCCGCGGCCCCCGGCCCGGCCCCTCCACGCGTCACCCTCGCTCCCTTCCTCTCTCCCGGTGGCGCCCGCCCTGCCCTGCCCCGCCCCTCCCGGGGGTCCCCGCCGCACCCCCTCCCTGCCGGGGGTCGCCCTGCTCGGAGCAGCCGCGCGGAGACTGCGCGGCCTCCGCCTCCGTGCGCTCGCAGTCGTCGCTCCTCGCCCGCCTTTGTTCTCGGACCGCCCCTCTCGCTGGCGACGCTCCGAGAGAGCCGCGGAGCCACCTGCCAGGGCCGCGCTTCCCCGAGCATCCAAAGCTGTCCCCGCGGGCTGTCGACGCCCGCGCCGGAGCGTGCGGGAGGCACAGCGGGAAGAAGTCGCTGAGATTTGGCCCTCGCGGCTTTGCGTTCCCGCGTGGTTGATGCCTCCGCCAAGAACGCGGTCGGCCGGGAGCCGGGGAGGAGCCTGGACGCCGGCCTGGCAGGTACCCCCGCGAGAACGTGGGAGCCGGTGGATTTCAGATGCATTTATTACTGATCTCGGGCTGCATCAGGGCACTTCTAGGACCGCACTGAAAACAGCGGGAAGTGAGGAGCCGAGCCTGGGTCCGGGGCGGCCCGCCGTACAGCCGGCCTGCGTCTCCAGATGACTTGTTCTGGAGAGTAAAAAATGCTCTCGGATTTAAAGTACAATCCTGTCTCCTTTCCATTCATTAGTGTTGCCTACACTCAGCAAACGAAAGTTGGGAAAGATGAAGGGATTATTTCTAGCGCATCACATTGACAAACACCGACGTGAACACGCCCAGTCCAGCCTGGCTCACTTGCCTCAGGTCGGAGAGGTCACCACTGACAACGCCTGGCCTTCAAGCCACTCCTAATCCAGCTTCGTTCTCTCCGCCGCAGCCAGACCAGCCCTACTGCCCTCCGCCTCAACTCGCGCAGGTGTAAGCTTCCGCTGCACTCCTTGTCTGAATCTGCCCAGAAGAAACTGCATCTTTCAGCTAAATACTTTTCACTGATAAGGGCCCTCCAGTCAGATTCTCTGGATAGAGTTTAGCGTTTTGGTTTTTTTGTGTTTTTTTTAAAAAAAAAAAAAAAAATCTTCAGCTATTTGGTACTCCTTTCCCTCCGGGATTCTGTCTCTGGATTGTGAAAGCTGGCAGAAGATGGAGTCAGGGAAAGCCATGATGGGAAGGTGCTCACTAATAACTGCCTGATATAAATAATTGGCACAAAAGACTGCCAAAACCACAACCTTGCACAAAGGCCACAAAACTACACAAAAAAATGCTTCAAGGACATTTGCACTGCAACTGCCTGTCCAACCTTGGACTGGCCATCCCCTTTGTTACTTATCTTTGTAGCCAAGGATAATTGTTTCAAAACAACTTACGTGATCTCGTTTTTCCTTTTTAAACCCCTTGTCTTCCTTTGCCTCCCTGAATACACCTATAGTTTAACACCGTATTCTACATTGCAATGCCCACTCTCGAATAAATTTGTCATGTTTGGCAAACCTGCCTCTTACTTAGGTTGACAAATTCAAATGCAAATTTATTCCGGAGTCAACAAATACTGATTCAGTCTTCCAATGTGCAAGGCAAGGAAGAATATTAAGGAGGCACTGTATAGATTAGATCCCTGCCTATAGGCAGCTTCAACACTAATACAATATGGTACGAATATACAATTGTACTTTAAGGCAGCGTAGGTGGGAAAACAACTAGCAACTAAAAAAAAAAATGGAGTTTACTACCAACTAAAAAAGTGGAGGTTTCAAGGTTGACATAGAATTTGAAAACTGCTTTAAAGACAGGTAGGAAAGATACAGGTAGATGTGCAATGGAAGTAGACATTGGGTTTCAAGCCCCAAACTGGCTGAGGGGTGGTAAAATAGACATATTCAGGTACATTAATCATTCCAGTTTGGCATAAGAATAAGGTAAATGAAGATGGATTCTAGGAGTTAAGGATGAAATATGTAGGGAGGTACTATGAGGTAATGGAGAGAACAAAGATTTAGAGTTAAGACTTTGGTTTGAATCCCAGCAGTGCCACTTATTAGCTATGTGATCAAAGGTAAATTAGTTAATCTCTCTGACCCTCCATTTCCTCATTTGTATAACAATAATGTCCAATTATTCCACAAATATTTTATGGAAAGCCAAGTATTAACTAAGAACTATGTTCAATGATGAAGATATAAAAAACCATTTATTCATTCATTCATCAAATACTGCCTTACCGTTTACTGAGTTAGGCCCTGGAAATACGGTAATAAGGGGGAAAAAAAAGCATGAAACCGTATGAGACCACTTAGATTATGCAGATATAGGTGAAAATAAGGCCCAAGACCAAGAAGTCCAAAGGTACTCAACTTGTGGAAGTAAGATAGAGAAGGAAAAAGAAGAAAACTAAGTGTAAAGTGCTGTAAACTGAAAGGAGAGAGTGTTTTAAAAAGAGGGACTGGTCACCGCTCCTAATGGAGAAGTGTGTTTGTAAAGGAGTTATTATAATGATGAGCCATGAAATCTAAGCTGGACAAGGCAGGAAATTTGAGGGCTGTAAGTGGTGAAAAAAGTCAATGAACTGGAGATTTCAGTAAGATTGGAGAGTGGCTGTCTTCAGGGTACTAGAGGTGGTGAGCTGGAAGGACAGGAAATGATTGAATGAGAATAACTTGCTTGAAATAAAGATTTCAGAAGTCATACTAATATTGGCAAGAGCAAGGTCTAGAGGAGTAAAAGGCAACTGAATGTGAGTTGGTTAAGGAATTAGAAAGTAGCATACAGACAGTCCTAGCGTGGCATAGTAGAATATGACTATAAAAATGACCATGGAAGTTGAAATTGTGCAAAGTGATCTTAATAATCAAAGAGAAAAATTAAATTGTTCTGTGACACTTAAGAATTTTTGTTGAAACATCAAAAACTCTCTTACTGCTAGGTAGACATATATCAGGAATTTTTTTAAATTGTAAAACTAATTTATTTAGTATGCCATAATTTAAAACATGAGAAACATGGAGAATCAGTCTTTATTCTTTGTAAAAAGCAAAAGAAAACAAAAAAAACTTACCAATAGTGGTGTGAACTGTGTTTGCCTCTTCTCATATGATTAATCTTCTGTCTTCATAAATTGTCATTCTGCATTCTAAGTTTAGATTAGCTTCCAACATTTTGTCTTTGCATTTTCAATCTTGTGAACTATTCTCAGGAATTCTTAAATACAAAGTGTATCAGCAACACTTCCTGTGGGCCTCTTCACCCTTTTGTCACAGCCACTTTACTCTCTTAACATTAATCAATTCATAAAATGATGAAACCAGAATTTACTGGCTGAAAAAGGTTTTTATTTAGTCTCTTTGTAATTATCATTTTCTTTCAGCAAGACAACCAACTTCAACACTTCGCCCGAATGCTAGCCAGACTGATTGGGAATAAATTTAAATGTATTACAGTCTTCAATCAAAAGCAGGAACAAGTCTTTATATCAGCCATAATTTGCATTCTCTTTCTAGCGCAATTTAAACTAAAAGATCCTGAAGCAACTTTACCTTCTTTTTTCTACTCACTGAACATTTTCTCCGTGGTGTCTATGGTGCGTTTTGCGTAGGCCGAGGTCTCATCCTATCTTTGCTTTGCTTTTGTCATTTTCAAATTCCCTAATCACGTCTAATTTCATTTCAGCATTTTTTTTTATTCGCTGTACTTTCATCTTTCTTGTCCAATTCCCTTTTAATGATCCATTTTTGTAAAATATGTTAGTTTATCACTGGGAAACAAGGAAGCTATACAACTACATGCTTTGCTGTTTATAAACTGAAAAACTGAGTAACGGTCATGCAGTGACCAATAACTGACAGACTCTGAAAGAAGGATTGTGATATCTGCTATGGACTGAATGTTTGTGCCTCACCCGCAAATTCATAAATTGAAGCCCTAATTCCCAGTGTGATGGTATTTGGAAGTGAGAACTTTGGGAGGTGATTAGATTTAGATGCGGTCATGAGAGTAGAGTTCCCACGATGGGGATTAACATCCTTTCAAAAAGAAGAGACCCAAGATTCATATTCCTTCTCTCTCTCTCCCCTGCCCCCACCCCCACCAAGGAAAGACCATGTAAGGAGATAACCAGGAAGAGGGCCCTCACCAAGAACCCCACCACGCTGGCACCCTGATCTCAGACTTTCAGCCTCTAGAACCTTAATAAAAAATATTTGTTGTTTAAGCAACCCAGTCTAAAGCATTTCATTATATCAGCCCAAGCTAAGACAATGCCCGTCTGTTATTTACATAGTGATCTGTGAACTGAAGAGCTAGCTGTGATTTTTGTTCTTTATGCAATTCCTCACATAAAGTTAATATGCCATCATAATTGAAATGTGAACCACATTGTTGGGGAACTGGTATTATTTAACTAAACCACAGTAAATGAAATTTGGCTTGAATACTCTCACGGTGAAAATTGCACAGTGCATACTAGAACCATGCAAAGTGAGGACTACGTTGTTGGATGGCTCATCTATGTGGATGTTGAAGTCCCAAGGAAAGATGACAGGAGTTGGGTGGGGATGTAGCTCAAGTCTTCAAGTGATGGGGAGGAATAAGCCAGGGACTACAGGCAGCAGAAATCAACAGGTAAAATATTATATATCCAGATAGCATAAATTTTCAGGAGACAGAATTTTTTTTAAGGTCAAAGGGCTTACCTACCCTAACTCCTGGCTGTAAGTCATCAAGGGTTGAGAGGCAAAAAACAGCCTTCATTTGAGAGGGCTGTAGTGGTATTCCTCTTCAGGGAAAAGTCAGATTGCTTTTAAGGAAAGGAACTCAAAATGCATGTGGAAGAGCGGTTGAGAATACAGAGGAACCTGATGAACCCTACAAAGAAAGTTCCCACAGGCTGAGGTGGCTCAGGCCTGCAATTCCAGCACTTTGGGAAGCCCAGGCAGGCAGATCATGAGGTCAGGAGATCGAGACCATCCTGGTTAACATGGTGAAACCCCGTCTCTACTAAAAATACAAAAAATTAGCCGGGCGTGGTGGCGGGCGCCTGTAGTCCCAGCTACTCAGGAGGCTGAGGCAGGAGAATGGCGTGAATCCAGGAGGCGGAGCTTGCAGCCAGCGGAGATCACACCACTACACTCCAACCTGGGCGACAGAGCGAGACTCCATCTCAAAGAAAAAAAAAAGAAAGTTCCGTAACCCACCTGAAAAGCTTAGAGAAGCAAGGAGTCAGATGAGTGGATGTTCAGATTTGACTGATGGAATTGTTTATGTGTTATTTTATGTGAGTGATCTTCACAGTGGGCAAGTGGTTCAAAAGTTATGTATATGTACCTGAATATTTAGCACGATAGTCTGGTGGGGTCAGGTGATTCCACTCTTTTATAGGATCATGGTGAAGTACAGCCTAGGTGGAGTGGGGAAAGAGGCTGATGATAGCAGGGCAGAGGTTTTCTTGGTACAGGTCTCAACATAGCTTATTGGGGAAGAAGAGGAGGAAAGGAGTTTTATGTTAGAGGAAAGGCAATAATACAAGATATTATGAGAGGACAAAGGAGGGGGTATCTCACCCAATCTGGAGAAGCAGTGAGAGAGACGTTGGATTGGCAGTGAGAAGTGTTGCTAGGATCTGAGATCTTTATGAGGCACCTGGAATCCACTTAACTTCAGAAAATAGCCGAGTATTATATTATGGACAATCTAGAACCTTAAGAGTAGGCAGAAGAGTTGGTATTCACTCACAAGCCAATCAAGAGCCACTGAGGGGTTTTGAGGCAAGGAGTGATATAAAGTTATGCTTCCAAGATGAAAACTCCATCAGTTTTATGTGTAAGGTATGGAGATGAGACTTAAGGCAAAGAAAATAGGCCCATTGGGTTTTCTCCCTGCCTCATTCTTGGAAGCATTTACTAGAGGTGTAGTTGCTGAATACCAGCACCCCAATACAAAAGAAGTTCAGTGAGGTCAAGGGCCTTGTCTGTTTTTTTCACCACAATACAATCTGCATCTCACACAGTGCCTAGAACATAGTAGATGCATGATTCTGTTGAACAAAAAAATAATAAATGAATCAATGAAAGAAAGGAGCTATTGAAACGGATTTGAGGGAAGTGAGTACCTAGGCTAGAGATACAACAGAAATGGAAAATTGAAGCTATTTTGAGCCACTTCAAAAAGTTAAAATCTATAGAATTTAACAACTAATTATATATGGGGGTTTAGAGAAGGGAAAGAAAACAGAGCTAAGGTAATTTAGAGGTGTCAAACCTAATAAAAATAAGTGTGCATAAGTACTTGATTATATATTATTTAATTCACATGTAAACCTTAGGAAAAAGGTGTAATTCTCATTTTACAAACAAGTCTATCTATGAGGCAGTCAATTCAATTACCAGGTAGTGAATTTTGCAATTAATTCATCCTGACAAGTTCATCAGGAAGGCACATTGCGTGATATGACATATTTCATACATTTGTTATTACTAATTTTTTCTGTGGTCAAGATTAGCATCAATAGCTCCTTTTTACGAGATTTTTTTGGCTACAACTATCATGTGTATGCTCTGTATAATGGTGGAGTGATTTTTTTCACCAAGCATATTTTTATTTTATTATGAAAGAACAGTTGTTGTGATGTATAGTTGCCAGAAGGAAACTCTCAGATAATTTTAGTTTACTAATAGAATCGGTAGAAATTGTAAGAAAAGGCCGGGCGCGGTGGCTCAAGCCTGTAATCCCAGCAGTTTGGGAGGCCGAGACGGGCGGATCACAAGGTCAGGAGATCGAGACCATCCTGGCTAACACGGTGAAACCCCATCTCTATTAAAAAATAACAAAAAACTAGCCGGGCGAGGTGGCGGGCGCCTGTAGTCCCAGCTACTCGGGAGGCTGAGGCAGGAGAATGGCGTGAACCCGGGAAGCGGAGCTTGCAGTGAGCTGAGATCCGGCCACTGCACTCCAGCCTGGGCGACAGAGCGAGACTCTGTCTCAAAAAAAAAAAAAAAAAAAAAAAATTGTAAGAAAATGATCAAAATTTTTTTCTTTATTTCTTCTTTAAAAAAATGGGATACGTGTGCAGAACGTCCAGGTTTGTTACATAGGTAAACATGTGCCGTGGTGGTTTGTTGCATCTGTTGACCCATCCTCTAAGTTCCCTCCCCTCCACTCTCACCCCTAACAGGCCCTGGTGTGTGTTGTTCCCCTCTCTGTGTCCATGTGTTCTCAATGTTCAACTCCAACTTATGAGTGAGAACATGTGGGGTTTGGTTTTAACTCCTG